AAAGATGGCATTCAAACACACACACACACACACACGGATCCTGGGAGTAGGCCCCACAGGGCCTTAGGGGGCTCTTTCTCGGGAAAAAAAGTTTCATATGATGCTGTCTTAAAACAAAACACACACACTAATACTAATAATCGAGAACGTTATATCATTATGATAAAGTAGGATGACTTTTCAGATCTACATCTACGGGACCCCAGAGTGCTTGAAGTGTTAGATCCCATGAAAACCACAGCAAGTGGCAGTGAAGGGGGTAAGATCGCAATAGGAGACACACTGTTAGGCCCTCTGTTTTCTCCAAGAAATCAGGAGACTGATGAGATTCTGAAGGGCAGCTGTGAAAGAGTTTGAAAAGATCCTAAAGTGTAAAAAGTACGTTGCTGAAGACCAAGGTTGTGATTCATGGTCTTGATGTGCATTGATGTGAAAGCTAGGCAATTAAAGCTTATTTGGAAAATAATCAGTTCATTTTAATCATGTTAGGGGAGAGCTTTGCAGATTCAGTGGCCTGCCACAAACACAAAGAAGTGGATCCTGGCTTTGGTATCTGCCTGCAGAGCCAAAGATTGGGAGTTCAGTCCCCCACTTGTGCCTCCTGTGAGTACAGCCAGCCTGCAAGCTCCAAAATCCCAGGGCACCCCCAGAAAAAAAAAAAGGAAGGGCAAACCATTTCTGAGTATTGTCTACCTGGAAAACCCTGAAAAGGGGGCTCCGTAAGTCAGAGTTGACTTGAAAACATGCAATTATTATTAGATCAAGGCGTGCCCGTACTCTCATTAGAAAAGTTCTAGTGACTGAATGACTAAATGGAAGCAACCATACATTGGAGGTATCATGAGAATAGTACAAGACTCACTGGGAGAAGTTAATAATGGTAGGGAAAATGGAAAGCAGGAAGAAGGAGGAGGAGGCTGAGCGTGAAGTGGGTTGACACAGAGTCGAAATCCTTAGTTTGCAAGACGTGACACGAGATCTTAATAACAGGATCTTGATTTTTTTTGAGTGGCATCAAGTCACCAGCAACTTATGACAAACTATGAATGAGTCACCTCCACAATGTACTATTACTAATAGCCCTGCTCAGCTCTTGCAAAGTCAAGGCTGTGTTTTCTTTTTGAAGTCAAACCATCTCATATCCTTCCTCTTTGCCTGCTGCCTTCACCTTTTTTAAAAAAAAGTATTATTGACTTTTTCAGTGAGTCATCTCAGGATGTGACCAAAGTATGATAGCCAAAGTATTATAGCCCCAGTTAGCTTTTCCAGAGAGTTCAAGCCTGATTTAGGATGCACTTATTTGTCTTTCTGGTGGTTCATGGTATCTGCAAAGCTGTTCTCCTACACTATATTTCGAATGAACCAATAGTGTTTTTTTTGCCATTTTTCATTGTCCAGCTTTCACACCATTATGTAGTATTTTGGAATACAGTACTGTGCATGATCTTAGCCCTGGTCTTCAGTGACATGTCCTTGTGTTATCTGCCATCAAATTCAACTTATAGCCATCCAGACCAGATGGGTGGGATATAAATCAAATAAATCAAATAAATAAAAATAGTGAGCAGAGCCTAATAAGGCTTTCAAGGTAAGCGAGAGCTTGTAGACCCTAATAAGGCTTTCAAGGTAAGCGAGAGCTTGGGGTGATTTTACCAGTTCCATCCTCTGTGAGTTTCTATGCCCAAGTGGGGATTTCCATAATTCTGTCCACTATACCAGCGGTCCCCAACAGTTTTGGGACTGCAGACTGGCTGATACTACAAGGAAGGCAGGGGCCACCCCCACAGGTGTGTGCGGGTGCATGGGTGCTCTCGGGCTCATGCGCAAAGCAGTGGGGGAGTGCCCATCTGCCAGCACCAGCGTGAGCATTCCCCCACCCCTTTGCACATGCACAGGGGCACCTGCACGCCTGGCCCCGTGCCCATCCACCCCTTCACATGGGCACTCAGGCACATGGATGAAGGGGTGGGGGAGTGCTCACGCTGGTGCTGGCATGCACACAAAGCAGCTGTGGGGAGGGGAGTGTGTGCAAGGGGGCGGGAGGTCTGTCTTTATGGCCCAGTCCGGCTCAGGCCATGGACTGGCACGGGACTGCGGACTGGGGGTTGATGACCTCTGCACTATACCACATTCGGTATCTTTATGCCCTTACTCATGACAAAATTTTCTAGTTCCTTCATTGCTCTCCTTCAGAGTCACAGTCTTCTGATGATTTCTTTGGACTAGTGATTGAGCTAAGGTACAAAGAACATTTAATCATTTCAGTTTCTTCATTGTCAACATTAAATTTATGTAATTTAGTAGTGTGGTCATGATTTTTGTCTTCTTAATGTTCAACTGCAGTCCTGCTTTCGCACTTTCTTTTCTCACCTTCATCAGGAGTTGTCTCAAGTCATTGCTTCTTTCTGTCAGTAATATGATGTCATCTGCATATTTTATTGATGTTTCTTCCACCAATTTTCACTTCTCCTTCACCCAAATCTAGTCCAGCTTCCAATATGTTATGTTCTGCATATATAGCCTTGTCTGACACTTTTGCATATAGGTAACCATTTTGTCTCTCCATATTCTGTCTTAACTGTAACTTCTTATCCATGATGCAATTTGCACAACAAATATGGATTATTTCTTTCAGTTACCCATATTTTCTCATGATCCAACAGTCAAAGGCTTTGCTGTAGGCTATAGAGCATAGCCTGATCTGAAATTCTTTGGTGAACTCCAGTAGTCAATGTATTTTTGGACCTTCCAGAGGTTATTAATTTATATGGTCCTCATGAGTTGGAAACAACTTTAAAGCACATAACAACAAATGTAGAATTACTTTTGTGCTGAACTGGGAGGGGAACAACTTTGAGGATAAATAATAATAAATGTAGAATTACTGCTGTGGCAAATCAGCTGTTTTTCCTCCCAGGGGTAGGAGAAAAACTGTTATCAGGAATGAAATGTCTTAATGAGTAAAGGCCATACACATGTACATTTTAGCTTCAGATATTAAAAATGACAGGAATTTACATGAACCATTTTAGAATACTAAAAGGCTAGTTTAAGACAAGGAAACTAAAGCCAGGATTTCCATCTGCAGTGTGAGACAGAATAAGTGTGTGGGACAATGAGCGTGTGGGAGCTGTATAAACCGTCCTGTCCAAGAAGGAAAAGTCATTCGCAAATGAGTTTGCATAGATGCACAGAATGCTGTAGGGTTATAGGATTCCTTCCAAGCTCCCTTTCCTGATTTGAGCGCAGTTTTCAATGGAAACCCGGAAAATGCTTGAAATAGCCGCGACGGTCCCCACCTCTTTCTCTAAAAACGAAGTCAGTCGCGTTCTTTCTCTCCAATGAGGCGCCCCCTCTCTTACAGGTTGGCACAGAAATGTTTTGCAAGCCTCGAGAGGATCCGGCGCGTCAAAAGCTGAAAGGAAATGTTGTAGTAATCTGCCATAAAGCACAGTAAGAAGGCGTAGCCTGCCGTC